TAAATTGCATGACAATCCCTTTCTTCAAAATTGCAAATTGACCCTAGAAATTAAATTGCAGACATGGGCCTGCAATTTCGTAAAATGCAACACAATTACTTGTTTCCCAATCAACTCAGTGACGACCATTGCCGCTAAATGGCCACTGGCCAACTGTTGTTTCGACCCATTTTTTGATCCAAAAATTATTTTCCTTTCAAAATAGATTCTAAAGATGAAAACTAATTTTCTTAATAGCTAAATCGTGAAAAATTAGCAATCAACTACCAAAGATTCAAACACAATCTCTAACAAGCACAAAGCAGGCTCTAATACCATTATTAGAAATTTATTTATCATATACATTGGAATTTAAATAATATTGCAATTCCCACTAAAGATCTACTTTATATTTAGATAAAAACTTTTATAGGAATTATAACTTTATTGAATTCTGTAAACTCCTTTGATTATCTTGATAACTAACAATGACAATTTGCAATTTATAATTGTAAAATCGTCCTACCTCTAATGAAAATCCACACAGTGAACAATAATGAGATAATATGGTTTCTATTTTCAACAATAATTGTGTTATTGTGTCTTTAAACTCCAATAGCTTATTAATAGAAATTTAAGGGCTTGGCCCATTCCTTAAACTTAATACGGTCAAAATTTAATCAATCTAATTAATTAAATTTGGTCCATAACTTAATTAATCCAATTAATTAACTCGGATCTATTAACAAGCAACGCAGTTAATTGTCAAATGTTAGTCAATTAATTAATAAAAATAAATATCATTCTTCTATGTCTCCTTTTGCATGTGACTCATTAGGGACGCCTAACGATGTGGATTATTATTTTGATCTAATTAAAATTGATAAATTAAAATATCCCATTTAACTTATCATCAATTCACATCCATCATCCCAAATTAACATGTAGTAATATGTCAGGGTAATACATGTGGTGAAAAATGTCATGTGCTATGATAAAACTAAACTTGTTCGTTTAAAACGAAACTATAGCCTCTTCATCAATATAATCAAATCAATTTACGGGATATAGAAGTGTATCAATCTCGATAATAATTATATCTTTCATCCCAATCTTACGTCAATATAAGTCAAAAATTATTTTCAACTTATGAGCACACATTGGCCAATGAATTTGTTATCAATTTAACTGAATGAAATATAGATCTTAATCTCTTACTATCTACGAGTGACGTATCTTTTATTAATCATTCACAATATTCATATAATTCTTGATATACCCGAATGATGTTGTATTAGCGACTCTTGATAGAGCAACATCTAATATCACAAAAGTATGACTGTCTCAAATATTTTGTTCTTACAAAACATTCTCGTATTCATTTAAGTATAATCACACTTTAGCTTCTAATATTAGCTACTTACTTTATAAGTAAGAAATATCATACGTGATGGTCTATTTGTAATAATGATATCCATGTTTTGTTATTACTTTTGAACACAGATGATTTAAGAGTCGTAATTTGTATATTATAATTACAACTCTTTGTGATTAACAAATTGCCAAGTCTTGATCTATGAAATCTATTATTTAATTTATTAGAATATTAATTCAATTAAATAATAGTTTTGTCATAAATAAAATGCATCAACTATATATTAAAAGCATTTATATCCAGAATAGATTGGACCTAGGCCCAACAATTAAGATATCTTCATATGGCGTTCTCTTTCTTTAATTTTGTATCATCTAAAAATAATGAGAACATAACTTCAATTTCAACTCTTTCAAATAAAAATATACTTGACATAAATCATGAACATAAATCAAACTCATCATCTATAGATACAAAATCAAATATTTCCTCAAAATCTAATAAGGTTTGAGCTCCTGATGACATGAAAATTTCATACTCTTATTCCATAGAGATGCCGTTAACCTATCACCAATGCATAATCCTTCTTTTATATCGCATAAAGACATAGAATCAATTGATTCATAGTGAACTCAAATCTCTCGATGATGTATTGTCTGACATGTATTTATTTTTTCTGTAGTTTGTTGATGAGAAGGTTTAGTGGATGCACATTGACATGGCAGGCCTGGCTTGGAATGATAAAATAAAAGTGAACAACTACACCCATTACTTTTTAATTTGGAAGAGCATTATCAAGGAATTAGAGGCAATTTTCTCAGGTCAAAAATTGTGGAGTAGAATTCGAAGTAGTGGCTTCTAAACTACGATGATCCTCAGCTTAGATAGAAACTTAAAATAATCAGACTATTGTTTTATTATGTAAAACTAATAAGATACATATATACGCATAAGCACACTTGTCTTATTATTTAACTTTGCATTTACTTTGCTAGAGGCTTTTGATTGTGATCATTATTTTGTGATTTTGGATATTTGTTGATTTTTAATTCTTGCTAGTGCATTATGTAAGAGCGTGTCAAATCCTATGCTTAATACAGTTTTGAGTTGGGCTTTCATTTATTTATTTATTTATTATTATTATTATTATTTTTTTTTGCACAGGTTTATATTTAAAAAAAAAAAACAGATTTACTGGCTAAAATTGCAGTGAGAAAATATTATTACATAAGTTCTAATTCCCAACAAAAATTTTCTTGTTCAGTAAATGGTGAGTTTTCCTGACCAATTGCAATTGTTGGCCAATGTCTACGACTTGCGATTTCATGACAAGTAGTATTGCCAACCAATATATGACCTTTTTTTTACCCAAAATATGGTCACAAAAAATTGTATCTTTAGTTACTAACTTAATTTTAGTAAGTAAAAAGCTCTACGTTTCCCGACTAACATGTGTTACTAGTCGGTGAAAGCTTTTGCCAGCAAGTTGCCAACCGACAATTTCTAGTTAGTGAATGGTTTTACCAGCTAATATTGGACTTTTATAGACTAATTTTTCTGTCAGTAAATTAAACTCATATTTCTTTTAGTGGTTAACTATTCCTTTTTCTATTAGGTTGGTCTAATATTAAGAATAACGATGATTATATTGCCACCATGAATATTTTTTTCCACCACACTTTTAAACTTGTTTTCATAATTAAATTCTTATATAGGAAAATAAAATATATTATCACAGAATGGTACATTCATAATTTTTTCTTTCATCTCTTACGGCCTTTCATATTAACCTCAACCTACACTATTCATATAGTAAAACTTCGCACAAATAAACCGACCCTAAAGACGGATGATTATAAACACGTTTATAAATATATGAGTTGTATAATTATTCCTAGTCAACAACAAGTAAGTTATTCTTATTTTTTGTATTATTTTGTATCATAGGTGGGTTTTGAACAAACAAGAAAGTAAGAATGAGTGTGTCTTAACTCTTAAGTAGTCACTTTGTGGCTCAAAACAGTCCCTATTCTTATATCCTAAGAATTAGCAGCTCACAAAATTAGAAAATTTAGATAATTAAAACAGGGTTGAATATTGAATTTTTAATTAAAGGACTTAGCTGAGTAGAAGAATAATGGGCATGGATATTAAAAATCAAATGATTTCTAGTAAATTTCTTATTTAAAAAAAAAATTAAATAAAATCTTCTTGTATCACTAAAGTACTTAAAAAATTCGGGATGATAAAAGCAGTTAGTAACATTAGATTTAAGTAATCATTTTAATTTTTCTTCTGAACAGTCTCCCAAGATAGAAGAAGAATTAGAAAGATTGGGAAAAATACTTTTTACAAATGCAATGGAATCAATCATGTACATAATGGTTTGTACAAGAGTTGATCATGCAACAGGTGTCCTACTTAAATCATTGGTCTCCACAAGACAATCAGTGTAATGCCATGAAGTTGTTATTTATATACTTGAAAAGGGTTCTGTAATTTAGGATTGAAGTTCAAAGGAAGTAAGAAAGGTATGGTAGTTAAATATTTTGTAGATACGAATAATAGTATGTGCTTACCATTGATTATCTCTTCATTAAACTACAATAAAAATGACCTTCTACAATATGCAAAAGGCAACATTCGTTAGCGATTGTTGCTAAAGGGATCTACATCAATATTCTAGTAAGTGAATGTTGCCCTCAATTAATATAATTGAAATTTGGTAACATTTTTTAAATGGAAGTTGCTAATGCCGCCTTTTGTTAATTAGCTGGAACTCTTAGCTTATAAGTGGTGGCAATTTTGTTAATTGAAGTTGCTAGATGCTATTAAGGAATGGATTTGGCTAAGGGTATGAGAACTTTCCTTGTAATAATATTAAGTTTATAAGTAGAGATGTGTAAAGCCACCCATCTATGCGAAGGTGGGATTAACTATTAAAATAAATAAATAAATAAAATAAAGAATGGTCCAAAGTGATAAACATTATCTGTAGTTCTAAATTCATTACGACTAATTTCTTCACACCAACTTGTTGGAAAATATTCAACACCGAGGTTTGGAGAAGAAAAAATATATAAAAATAATCAAGAAGACAAAAATAAGAAGAAAATCATAATAAATATGAAAGTTCAAACACGACATTATATCACTGTCCTTAAACGATATTCGCCCCTTCTTGAATATAATTTTGGTGCTTAAAGGGTCTTGCGACAAATGGTTTGTAGGAGTAATCAAGTTTTGTAGGGAATCAATACTTAAGTACTTGTATAAATTCTCCTAAACTTGAAGAACACAAAGGGAATATTGAATATGGATGAAGAAAACTTTGATTTCTTCTTTGTGGAATGAAAATTATGATGACAAATATTATCAAGTGTTTTTCTTAAAGTTAGAATGATCATCAGCCACCTATTTATAGCCATGAAACATTGCTATAAGTGGTGTCAAAGTATAAGTGAAAGACCCCCAAATTTGAATCAAAAACCAACTCCAACAGCACTAAAAAACTACCATGCAACCGCATGGTGTATTCCCATGCGGTCGCATGGTTTATACAAAACCCGGCCTCCATGTTTCGGTTTACCACATGGTCAGTTGGCTATGCGGTTGCATAGGCCAAAGTATTGAATCCCATCTCGTCTTTCTTTCATCACTCATACTAGTGTTTATTGATTTATTGGACAAAATTTTCCATCACAGAGAATTTTACCACACTATATCTAAAAGACAGATGACATCACTATATATTTTAGTGAGAAACACAAATACATGGAAAGAGAGAGAGAAAGAGAGAAAGTTGAATTGTTGATCAAGGACAACCAAGGGAGTTTTGTTTTTCTGTGGGATGCTTTTTCCTGGATAGAAACCTGTCGATAAAGGTTTGGAGTGTTGTCCTATCTGCCCTGTAGTGGTTTTGGGTGAATTCTTGCAATTCTGACCATGTGAAATCTGGGTACTTCCTTGTCTCGTGAAGATCCTCCGGTGGCCTCACAACCTTGTCCTCTTTTGGGCTTATGAAAAACACCAACGATCTCCTTGCTTTCTCCTTGTTCACCACTGCTCTATGTAGGCAACTCTTGTATCTACCATTAGATAATGCCTGCATGTCATTTGTATACATGGTTACAGGAACAGTGCTAGGATTGTAAAGTTGTGGGAGCAAACTTTTATAGCTAAAATCAAGGAGGCAAAATCTTGAAGTAAAAAATTTTAATTGTGGTGACAAAATCGATAACTATAAGGAACTTAATATAAGATTCAAAGGATTTGAAATTGAGCTGAATCCAAATCCATCCCTGCATGGTTAACGAATAACTAAAAACATTATTACATAGATTTATAGTAATATTCCCTTTACACGATTTAGATTCTCACTACAAAGAAGTAAAGTATAGCAGTTATTTAAATCCTCTCATTCTGTAAAAAATGAACTATATGTATCGACATACAATTTAGGCGAAAAACTCAAAATTTTCATTTAGAAAAATTAATGTGTAGCGTTTATGAAATTTTCCTTCAAATGTTCTTTATCACACAAACAAATAGTTGTGCTAACGCACAACGGAACATCATAAATGGATCCATCTTAATGCTATTTGTCCGAAAATGGGAATTAAGCACATAGTATACTCGTTACACTAAATTCCAGTACTGAAAATTAATGCTCGTTTCATTCGAAAAACATATGAGAAAAAACCCAAAAATTACTTTTTAACTTTTTGTCGTTTTAAGTGAAATTTCTAACAATTTTTATGGTGTTTGCACTATTGTGGGTCTTATTGTGTAAAGTTTTTTTATTTTTCATTTTTTTATTTTTTAAATTAATGTTTTTGTCCTCTTCAAGAGAAAGAACTAAGAAGTCATTCGTAGCCGTACCCTACATCAGATACTGCCAAGGTTACGTACTAGTTAATAACAGTACTGAAAAGGGGTGGCTAATATGTTAAATTGGCTACAGAACACAACAAAAAGGTGGGCACGGTTCGGTATTATCGGTGGTCCTTTAGACATATATCACGACATGCTTAGGATAAATAATTTGGCAGAATAAAACTGTCCCATCTTTGTTTTTCCCTATGAGCTGATATTTCAAGCACTGTTTGACAATCATTTTTTAGGAGGAATAAATTTTTGAAAAACATGGTGTTAAAAAGTAGAAAGAAGTTTTAGATTTACGTGAAAAATATTTTATTGTAAGAATGTATGATTGAAAATGAGTACGAAAAAAAGAGTTTTGAAAGAATGGTTGTCAAATAGAGCCCAAATATCTAACCATCTAGGGCAACAATGCATGCTAAAAATCCCAGAAGTGGTAAAAATGAGCAATTATTTTATGCTAATAAACCACCAATCTGGTACAAATATTAATATTGATTTGAAGAAACCGGGGATGAAGAAATCATTGAAATCCCTAAATTTTTTAAAAGGAATAAAACTTTTAGCAAAACATGGTATAAGATCATTCTCTTTCCTACATTAAAGTCACATGTGCAATGAAAGAAAAATTCACAAAAAATAAAAAAAGGAAAAAACACAAATTAGAACATACCATGAATGTATCTCCAATGTTAACAACAAAGGCATCGGGGCGTGGCCTGATAGCTTGCCATTTGTTATTGGCAAAAATTTCGAGTCCTCCAACTTGATCTTGATGGAGTATTGTTATGGAATTTGGATCACAATGAGGACCAGTGCCAAAGGTTAGGCCAGCTTGGTTGCATGGTGGATAGTTATTGAACCTCATTATTGAGCAACCATCTTCGAAATATTTCCTATAGTATGATCGGTCAAGTCCCAAGCTAATTGCCAGCAGTCCCAAAATTGCCAGAGACAATTTTTTCATTGCCTCACAATATTTATGTAAAACATACCTGTGAAATTCAAGGGTTCTTAAGTATTGCAATTTATTGGCTATAACTTCATGCACAAAGTTGCTTACTGTGTACATATAGTGTTATATTGATAGTTGTCAATATGAAGGTTTAGGCAAATCAAGTGTTACTACAAATACAAATGCATATCTAACTGATTCGTCGTATATTTATTACTTTTTTGCATACCAATTGGCTAATCATATGTACATTGTTCATCATATTATATCACTAGAGTAGTACTATTAAAAAATGTTTGATATGTCTGGTCACACAGAATTTGACAAGGCAACTGATGAATTTTGTACAGGTATATATTCTTTAGTCATGTAAAATCATATCGAGTCTAGCGTATTACACGTGCATTTAATTGGATGTTTGGGAATGTAGACTTGTTATTGAACCCTGCTTACCAACATGACCTGAAATGACCGTCTGCTTAATTTAAGTCTAAATAAATGCAGAACACTAAATCTATCGTTAAAGAATGTGTGATAAAAAAGATGAGAGATAAAAATGTATTTTTCTTAAAATGGAGCGCAAACGAGGGTAATACTGAATAACCTTACCCCGCCTCTTCAAAATCCTTCCCTAGAACAGTTTTGAAATAGTTAACCAGATCAACATCCGGGCCATTTACATAATCATAACCAAATGAGAATGTTTCCTTCCATGGCAGTTTTGACGAATATCGATCAGAATGAGCACCCGAATAACCCCAGACACTGCCCGGCTTTCGTTTAGCTTGTACCTTGCGGATTATCGGAAGCTTGAAGAAGGCGTCCATCTTATCATGTGCAGCCTGAATCACATTGACATCCACGGCATGGTTGGTAACTTGGAAGAAACCATGGTTTAAACAAGCTGCTCTAATTTGTGAAGCTGCACGAATTGTTGCTTGTTCATCACCATCCAAGAATCCTTTTAGGTCTATTGGTGGCTCTTTGAGTACATCTTGAGTATAAACTAAGTCCTCATGAGGCCATCGGAATCTTGTTGGCAAGTTTGTTTGTTTTTGCAGAAGAGATGTGTCAAAAACTAGTAGCCCATTTTCTTTATCATTTTTGACGTCAAATGGAGAACGAAGAATGAGAGTTGAGGCACTAGGGTCCATGTTGTAAGGCACGTGTTTAAGGATTGAATCAGGAGATAATATTTATAGAAGAATGAAGAGTAATGGAGAAAGAAAACAAAGAAATGGCAAAGAGCAGCTATAAGTAGTTTAAAAAAGAATGGACTTTTAGGACTGTTCTAGTACAGACATGACTTACTAGAGTCATCCAGATAAAATGATGAACAAGATAAGAGTTTGTGCTGGTAAAATAAACAGGATTTTAGTTTATTTTTTCTTAGTACTACTAGATGCTATCAATTTTTCTCCACAAAGCTTGATAGGATTAGATAATACAATAAGCAAGATTTTAATATACTTTTCTTCTCCTTATCCAAACACATCACTATGATTAAAATCGATAACAAAAGTATTACCAATATCTATAAATGCAGACGAAAAAAATATGCAGATGTTGACGCTTTTACTGGGAGTGTTGTTTGATAGTATTCTAGCATTATCTTCGTAATTTCTAATCATATTAACACTACAAAATAAATTTCTCGAGTGATGAAATTTTTGTCGTTGATGGCCAAATTTCTATTGATTGAACTTCAGTCTTTAGCACTCGTCTATTGACTTAAAAATCCAATAAAATTGCAATTGAATTTACCCTTGATCATATAATAATGACATGACTAACGTCCAAATATCACATCATTGATTTTCAATTATAAATATATTCTTCATCACTTCCTGAGTCTTTAATTCATAATATTTATTGTGGATATAGAATGAACACGATAGAATTCATACAATCAAAATGAACCACAAATGGACTACATATAAAATAAACAATAAAAAGGAGATAGATTGAGAGAGGAGTATGTAGAGAAATGCCAAAATAATGCATTGGGAAGGTCGAAGAAGAAATTGGAAGTTTATTAGGAATCCAACAACTGAGACGAATGACGCCTTTCAATCCTTAGGTCACTTTCTCTACATGAAACAAATATTTTTTTATGCACAAGTCTCAATCTTTTCTCACTCCATTTATGATAAATTTGTCTCATTAACTAATTGAAAATTTGCTTGTCCTCAACAACCTTATCTACTTTGTGAAGTAATTTAAAAAACTCCACATATATATTTACATGCATATCATATATGGTAAAAGGTACATGGGACTAGAGTTCAAATTGACTAAGTTGGATCTATTTGAATCTCGGTCAGATTGGCATAACCTAAATGTTGGAACAATCTTTTAAATGATCAAGGCAAGAAGTAGACAAAGTTGAAGAAAAATAGTGGGACTGGCTCTGTTAGAGTACCAAGGCAACATCATCACACGACCCCAGTCACATTTTATACAATAGTCTCATGCACAAGTTAAAATTAAGTTGAAAATCTCGTGAATTGATATTACTATATTCATTTGTTTCAGAACACGTCTTCCTAGGATTCCGTTGTAAGCGAATCTACTACCAATAGTAAAAAAAATTCATATATCCTTGATACACCCTGGTTCCTGGTCTAGCTTCACTATTAGAGTAATTTGTCTATGTTGGACTCGACTATATATCTCTAGTGAAACCATATGGATCCAGTATCGGTTTCAAGGAAGATAAGTTTGCAATATTTGATCAAATCCGTACCCAAGCAGAATATTTGTTGAATTTCCACAAAACACGAGCATGTGACTAAAGTCATCAATGGCTATTATGGCTCGCATGATCAAAGCATCACAATGAGGGTAGATTATTTCATTCTTATTGTCAATAATTTCAATTATAGGGGATTCAGGTTTGAATTACCTTGAATCCAACAATTTTTCGATGCAAGCTTAAGTTTACCATTCCTTTGTGATTTCATTGTCTTCTTTTTTCGTATGATGTCGGTTAATAATAATGTTGATTTCTTCTTTGAACTCTTCCTATATTCTCTTTGGATCAATATCACCGTCTTCATGATAATAGCTGGGAATATCAATTTCAGATTTCAGTGCTTCTATTTTGACGATATCTATGCTTGATTCATATTTGGACATTTTTATCGATGATTTAAACCTTTTCAAAGAGAAATTATTGAGATCATAGTTGCCTTTGTTCTCTTTTTGCTCTATACAAATAATTAGAGTTTGTATTGATTCTTGTAATGTTGTTTACAGCATTATTAATAGAGAATTTTGTTGACCTCATTTTTTGTACCGTTGATGTGGACTAATCGTTAGTTACGTGAGCCCTTCCTCAATGATAGGGGAGGCAGCACATGCATTCCAACTGTGAAATCAGTCAATGAGATATTTATATTTGGGTGTGGAAAGTGCTTTAGACGTGAGCCACATAGGAGTTTGGGCACCAGGTTTGTGTATGAGAGTATGTAAAAATCGAAGAGAATAATTTACAAAGCTTGTATTATTTAGTGTTGCATTACCCTTTAAATGGCATGGGTTGTGAGCTTTTATATTAGTAGAGATGAAGTGGTAGCAGTTGGATGAGACGCACGTAACTTTATCTCCTTATTCAAGGCGTCCCATCGTATGCATCATATCACACATCCTAGGCCATGCATCATTTAATGTACTTTGAAACGGTAGCCACTCTAGGGCCTAGGCCTGAGTACGTATGTAGTAGGCTGACAAAACTTGACTTTCTTCTGCTACAACAAGGGTCACATTAATCATTCACATAAGATCTTTATGTAGAAATCTCTTGGGAAAAGTGAAAATGAAAGATGCTCATTATGGTTAGGAGGCTTCAACTTCGATAATGTGGGCTTCGACCACTTATATAGTGCTTCGGCTTTAGGGCTTTGGCTGAAGCGGTTGATGACCTCTCTATTGTTGTTTTATAGTAGGTGGAGCCTCGCTTCAGCTGCCGAGCTTTTGCTTACACATGGTGCTTTGGGGTTAGGTCCAATTTGTCATCTTTACCTATGACTTCGGTTCAATTTTTTATGTCGTGAAGTGTAGGTTTCATTTAAGCTTCTTCTTGAGCCTCGATTTTGAGTTGTAGGCTTCTTTTTGAGCCTCATTTTTGAAGCATTCGTCCAAATCTATGTATGATTATTTTTAATGCATGGACTTCTTATTTTGAGAAGTAATAGTATGATGTTACATGTTCATTGCTTAACTTGGTTTTATCGCCTTTCGTGGAATGCCTTTAATATTCGTAGAAACCTTAATTTGTATGTTGAGTTGTGCTGAAGAGATTGAAGTAATGCTTTAGTTTGGTTGAAATTTGATGTAGAGAGGCTCTGAAGTGTTGAAGTTGTTGGCTGAAATTTGATGCAGAGACGAGGCTCTAAAGTGTTGAAGTAAGGTAAGTGCTTTTTAAGGCCATCTTTGAAGGTTTGAATGTAAGCTCCTTTTTTTAAGCTTCCTCCAATAGCGCTCACATTTTCTTGCATGGTGGATGGTTTATCCGTGCAGAGGCTTTTTCCATGGTGTACAGCTTTATCCATGGGAGGCGCATAATGTTAACCTCGGAAAATTTGGAGGTAGTCCCATTTGGGATCTACCTCTGCTTCGAGATGCTCAACCTTTCCTACATAATGAATGGTTTACCCATGCAGAGGCTTCTTCCATGATGTTCACCTTCATCCATGGGAGACTTATGATGTCAACCTTGGCAAATTTTAGGGCCATCTCTTCTCCGAGGTGCTCGTACTTCCCTGCAAGGTAGATGGTTCATTCATGCAGAGGCTTCTCCCATGGTGTTCAGCTTCATCCATGGGAGGCTTATGACGTCAACCTTGGAGAATTTGGGAAAATATCTTCTACCGGGTGCTTATGCTTCCTTGCATAGTAGATGCTTCATTCGTGAAGAGGCTTATATCATGGTGTTCAACTTTATCTATAGGAGGTTCATGCTATTAACCTTGGAGAATTTGGAAGTAGTCCCATTTGGAATCCACCTCTTTTCGAGGTGCTCATGCTTCTCTACGTGGTGGATAGTTCATTCATGTAGAGACTTCTCCTATGATGTTTAGCTTTATCCATGAGAGTGTTATGATGACAATCTTGAAAATTTTGAATATGACTCCCTGTATTGTGGATGGTTTATCTTCATCAATGGGAGGCTTATGATGTCAACCTTGAAAACTTGTAAGTTGTCCCTTTTAGGATTCACCTTTTTTCCAAAGTGCTCATGCTTTCCTTCACCCGAATGGTTCATGCATATAGAGGCTTTTTCAATGGTGTTTAGTTTCATCCATAGAAGGCATATGATGTCAAACTTGGAGAATTTGGATCTACCTCTTCTCTGAGGTGCTCATGTTTCCTTATATGGTAAATGGTTCATTCACACAAAGGCTTTTCCTATAGTGTTCAGCTTCATCCATGGAAGGTTTATGATGTCAACCTTGGAGATTTAGAGAAGGGTTCTTTTTGTGAGATTCTTCTCCAAATTAGATTGACTTCCTTGTATAGGGTGGCTCATTCATGCCAAGGGCTTCCCCATGGTGTATGATTCATCCATGTGACGTAACATATAGGCGAAAATAAGGTTTTACATTGTGAGCCTACTGTAGAAGTTCATGCGTGTACATAAGTTAAATATGAAAATGACCTTCAAGTCCTTTAGTAATTTCACGCCCGTCCCTCAACTTTTGACCTTGTACATTTTGGTCCCCATATTTTTACTTCTATTTCAATCATACTCTTGATAAATTGCATTCAAAATCTTTCAACTTTCAAAACATCTACACTTCAACCCCCAAGCTCATATTTTTGTACTTTTAGTGCTTTTCTCTTCTTTTGCATTGTTTTCCTTCAATTTGGAAATTTGTTACTTGTCACTTAACAGAGGCTCTGCATGAGCAATGATGAAGCCTCTTGATGAGTGTATTAAACTCATATTTTAGATATCGTCTACGTTTGATATTTAGCTATTTCTTATAAGTTTTAGAGTTTTAATGTGTGTTTTGATATTGTGATATAGGTTGAAAGTGTATAATGATGCAAAGATTATGCAAAAATATGTGATAGGAGAATAAAAAAAATTCACTTTTGAGACAAGTTTTTTTTTTTTTTTCATGAATTTTCATCTTGAACAGTTATTTGCTACTTATACATGTATAGTTCATAAAAAGTAAACATTTTTCACATAACTTATTTTAAAACTTAAATGTAGTAAATTGTATAAGCTTCACGTGTCATAAGTGTTACTAAACTCCTGTAAGCAAGTCTCAAAACCTTAAATCAACGAAAAAGTGTTACAAGGACCTTTTAAATAAAATGCTCATATTAATTTTTTCAATGTATAAATTTTATTTCTTCCTCTATAAATAAGCATCTATATATATTTTTCTCTCTCATTTATTTTATATTTTATATTTTATATGATCTCTTCTACATTAAGTGACTAAGATTACTCCTATAATGAGTTTTAGGTCGATGACACCAAGTAAGTTGGCCACAGCACATCACGTTATGAGAAATCCCCAAGTCAAATAAGCTCTGAAGAAGCGTATAAGATGAATCTGACTTTCTCATATATTTCAAAATTTTTGAATCTCACTCATCTTGTTTCTTTTAAGAGGAATATACTAGAGCTTTATGTCAATCTAGTTAAAGGTCATTCCATATTCAAAGTCAATTCCCCACACAAATGACCGTCATCCCAAATCTCCAACATGCTATCAAAACTACTCACAAGAATCTAATGTATGCAATGCATAAGATACATGTAATAGCCTATACTAAGTACTCAAGACAAGTTCTAAACCAATTAATGAAAATCTAGTTTACTATCTATAAACTTTACTAATATCTAATAAAAAATTAACATGTCCAAACCAAAAAAAAAAAATTATTCTTTTTTTTCGAAAAATAAATAGGCACACAAAAAATAAAAAAATAAAATAATAGAGTGCGTGCATGAATATTAAATATCATTAATAAAAGTAGATGCAAGCACATAAATGTCTAATCAATGAGGCACACAAATGCTCTTACCATGAAGAGCAGCATGAGGAATATCGCAAGTATCAACATCACAAGCCAGTGAGTTCACTCTTTCCGACCCAAATCTTATTAGAAGAACATCTTAGTCAATTTGGTCGAGAGATTCACTTGGTAAGTCTAGAAACTGACTCGAGTAGTTAGATCTTGATTATTGTACCTAATCAAAGACTTACTATTATTAAGTCTAATGTGACATAAAACATCACAATTATGACATGTGGGAATGAATTTAGGAACAATCCTAGATTTCAAAATTTGAACCTTGGGTGGAGGAAACCTATGTTATATCAGTGATTTAGGTCCTTGAACACGTTTATTTTTTGTCTTGTTCCTATTCAAGAACTCACAACACTTAGGTCTTATGTGGCTTACCTTACCACAATGATGACATGGGGACGAACCTAGGAGCAATTCTAGGTTTCAATTTTTGAACAATATGTTTTGAGGTAGCTACAAACTTATTTATCTAAGAGGAAGTCATATGAGAATTCGTTTCAGTATCGCTTAAATCTCCTCTATCCCTAGCTGCTTTTTTCAGACCTATCGTGTTAACAATCTTTTTAGATCCACTAGAGAAGGATTGAAGTTGGGCATTTGATTTTTCAAGATCAAATATCAAAAATTTAACCTTAATTTCTAAAGACACTTTCTCAACCCTTAATTCATTCAATCCTTTGATAGACTCTTCAAATTCGACTATAAGGTTCTCGTTTTCTAATTCAAGCTTATTTAGTTTGTAAAAGACTTATCTATCGACCTTATGTAACTTGAGACTCTCCTTATATAGCTGGTCATAAGCCTCATGAACATCCATAGCATCCTTAGATCCTACATCAAAATGTGATTGATTCATCTAGACAATTTTTAGGTTAAGGATCGCACTTAAGCTCTAATACCATTTGAAAGTTCTAATTATCCGAATATTTTGATTGAATTGAGCAACAAGTCACTTTTTAATTGTCTCTAAGTTATTAGTCAATCAAATTCAATAATCCTATGCTTTGAATACCACAACAATAATTGAAGTAGTAAAAAACACCAAAGAGGATCACAGAGAAGCCCTAATAGGGTAAAAGCTCCAGGCACTTTGTTAGTCAACAATCAACTATAAATGATGAGACCTACAGTATGGTTCGAACCTTATTAACTCTTAGTCCCGTTTGGCCTTCTTCTGGTAATCACTTCTACGGCTCTTTGACACTCTTTAGACTTTTAATTGCGTTTCCTTGATCGTATTTGATTTCTTGGACACTCGAACTCCTTTAAGACCTATACTGCCAATCATTAACTATTTTGAATTTGATTTTAACTGGATAAATACCAAATAAAGTTCAACTAGGACGATTTTGACTTAGGAAATTGTGAATTACAATTTTGACTTAACAGGGGTCATAAAGAACTCTCCAGAAAGATGACACCTATAGAATGAATTAGGGTTTCAGGAAAAAGACCTTTTTGTTACCCTTAGAAGAACATCGTTGATCAAAGGTAAGATCAGTGGTAATGGGCAAAAATAGTCCTATTCCACAAATGCGATTTCAGATAGATTTGGTATTGGGTTCGGGTCAATAGGATTATTCAGTTTGATATTATTGTGAAATTCAATTCTAGTTGGACCAAGCTCATTTCATAATTGCTTATGTGTGTGGATCTGAAATCACAGCCCAACAGTAACATTGGCCAACTTCCTCTAAATGTTTTTCAAACTAAAAAAAAACTCCTATAAATTTAACCAAATATATCCAAAAGCCATGCCAAAGGGCCTTTAGTCGCTCATGGTAGTAGATTGAACAATTGAAAATTACTATAAAACAAAAGAAAATATTATTCATTATATAGTTCAATTCCGTTTGGTACAATTGACCAAACACGCCCTAGTGCCTAATCAAGTTTTCGAATTCGTAAAGTTTAGATTATAAAGTACCTGATTATACAATCAGTCTTTTACATCAAACAGAAAATCCATTCAATTAAATCACCATGGACTTCATGGTGATAAGTACCGACATACGCTCAATCGAGTTAAAGCACATTGGAGAACAAGTAGCTAATGAAGCAATTTTATATGGCACTGCCACCGTATTACTTAAACTAGGAACATAGCAAAACGGACTACTGTACTTCTCATAAAAGAGTTACAATTATGTGCATAAGATATAAAGCTAAAATCCAAGTCAATAGATTGAATCACCTGCAAAGAGTCACATTCGTCCACATCAACGTGATGTCCATAATTTTTCAAGGTTTAGGCTTATCGCATAGCCAAAGCCTTGCCCACTTCTCATTCAAACAGCCCTTCCATTGTCCAAGCATCGGTCCCTATCACCTCATTTAAACTTGCCAATACCATCCCTAACTCCAGCATCTTATTGAATTTCAATGTACCTCTTGCTGGCAACGCCCATCATTCACTTGCCTAACATGTCATCTGTGAGAAAGAGGTGCAGGGAGTCAGGCGCCATGGCGCCCAAAGTGTGAAAAATGGTCCAGTGATGCAGGCGCCCATGGTTCTGATCGACCTTGGCGCCATGGCGCCCGACTTAGCTATTTATATAGCTGGTTTTTCCCCTTCATTTTGCCACACGATTTTGAGAGAGAAAAATAGAGAGGGCTTGGATAGAGTTTTACAAGTAAGAGTTTGTTCTTTTTGGGTATAAATTCAAAGCCATTTTTCTTTCTTTGGGATTAACTTGAGGCTTGTTCAAGTAATCCAATACATTGTTCTTCCAATATACATTGAAAATCATTTCTTCCCCATTTTCTTGTTCTTGAAGTGGTTTGGGATTTTTTCACATTGTCAAGCTTAATTTCTTGGGCAATCTTTGGGAGGTTATTTTCCCAACAATTTGGTATCTGAGCTTCTTCCTAAATCAAGGTGGTTAACCTTCGATTTTGTGGTGAGTTGCTTGAACTTTGTTGTGCACAAGGTGTTTGTGAAAATTCCCAAGTGAACTTTTGTGGTTTATTTTCGGTAAACAAGTGAATAAATCATGTCTACTAGAGGAATGGTGAAGATTGGGAAGTATGAGATAGAGAAATTCAATGGGAAGAATGATTTTTCGTATTGGAGAATGCAAATGAAAAATTTGTTGATTTCTCAAAAGTTGCACAATGCATTGGCGGGAAAGGAGAAGAAGCACGTTGATATGTCGGACGAGGATTGGGAAGAGCTAGATCTTGAGGCACGAGCGTCTATCATTCTTTGCCTTGAAAGAGATGTTGCTTTCTTGGTTGATAGTGAGGTAACGGTGGCGGAGGTGTGGACAAAGTTGGAGGCGAACTTCATGACGAAGACTCTAACAAATCGGATCTATTTGAAGTCCAAATTGTATACTTGCAAGATGGATGAAGGTACACCAATTCGGGAGTACGTCAACAAGTTTGATAGGATCATATCGGACTTGAAGGACATTGATGTGGATGTAGATGATGAGGATCAAGCACTTCTACTACTTATTTCATTGCCAAGGTCTTACGAGAACCTAGTACAAACATTGATGCTTGTGGGTGATAAACTTGTGATGGAGGACACTAGAACGTCACTTCTAGTGGATGATCTTCGAAAGATTGCAACTAGTGGCATATCTACCATTGGTAACAAGGAGCAAGCTCAAGGATTCTTTGTAAGGGGTAGAAGCAATGTGCGACCAAAGGGCAAGGGAGAAAAATCTAGGTCGAGTTCTAGACCTCTTGCGGAAAGGTCTGATTTCAAATGTGGCGAGCTTTGGCATTTCAAGGCGAATTGTCCAAACAAAAAGAGTTGGAAGAAGAACAATAAGAACAACAACAGTGGGAAGGTGCAAGTCAAGCAAGAGGTAAGCT